GAGCCTGCGGCCCGTTACGGAAATGACACTATACTTGAGCTCCTCTTTCCGACTACGGGTCCTAAAATCCAACAAGCAGGACAAGTGCTCGGTGCTAATCTCAACGCCACGCTCTTTGCTCAATACATAAACGCCGATGAGATGCCTAAGACCCCTAGGGTTAATCTGAGCAAGGGAGACGTTGTTTGCTGCTAGGAAACGAAGAAGAAATCCAGGCACCGGAAACCAGAGAAGGCACTGATCGAAGTAGTTCTCATACAAAGTGAAGTACCCTGGAGGCGGGGCATCAGCTCTGTTAGTAGAGTCAGGAACAACCAACGCAATCTCCTCTGAAATCATGCGCTTCTCTCGAAAGAGTTGGAGTGATTCTGCATCCGAGAGGGTAGACCTCGGGGGATCCGGGCGAATCGTCACCTTTCGCTTCTTCTTAATCATCGCCGTTTGTTCAACCTCAATAAGCATATCATCATCGTCTCTCTCAACGCTAGAAGCTCGCGAGTTGAACAAGGAGGAAGAAAGCGATGCATCGGCGGAGCTAGGCGGAAGCTTTGGGTCTTCATCATTCAGAAAAGTTAAGTCGCCAATATCCTCATGACGAGACATCGGGTCTTCATCGTCGATGAGCCTCATCAGGTCTTCATCACCAGTGAGAGTTTTCGGGTCAGTAGCAGCGAGGTCCACCGGGTTTACGGAGACATCAGCATCAACATCATCGGTTCCACGAAGATGATGCCGCGAAAGAACGAGTTTGTTGCGATGACGAGTCCCTGGAGTCATGTTTTCAGGACATGTCCACGCCGGCCTCGTCGGGTCATCGGTGTGCTGGCACGAGAATATCGGGTCATCGGTGCGTTGGCACGAGGACATCAGGTCTTCGTCGCCTTCGCGAGCCCTGGGTGGAGACGTCGGGTCTTCGTTGTCTTCGCAAGCCCTCGGTGGACTCGTCGGGTCTTCGGTGGCGTGATAGTCCTCGGTTCCTCGATGGACTCGTCGGGTCTTTGGTGCCGCGATAGTCCTCGGGTCTTCGGTGGACCGAGCTTCGGACCAAGCGAGAAAAGACATCGGGGCTTCGGACCAAGCTGTCAGAGTCGTCGGTCCGGATTCTCGCCAGAGGCAGCAGCATGGGTGTTATCGGTGCCGCCGTGGCCATCGGCTCTGTATTCTCCAGTCAAGCCATCGATTTTCGCCTTATCCATGACCTCAAATTTACCTACATCAATCAACAATAAAGATCAAAGGTCAAGGATTTTCAACAATTAACAAAGATCAAATCCTTTTCATCTCCAACACACCTAGAATCGAAATGCACACACCTAGAATCGAAATGCAAGGAACATCCTAAGGATCTACACAAATCAAGCTTGATGAGCAACAACAAGCAAGGATTCAAAGATTCCTCTTAGCAATAGACAACAACTAAGCTGGTTTTCCATGGGAATCTAGAAGATTTGTGCAAAGGAATCAACAAGGATACTCACCAAAAAGAAGGAAGAAACGTCGACGGCGGCGTAGAGGGCACGTCGGCAATGGAGCAGCACTCGTCAGCGGTGGGGCAGCACTCGTCGGCGGCGGCGCAAGAGGGTGGAGAAGAAGGAGATGAAAAACCCTAGAAAATGGGTAAAGGAGGAAGAAAGAGAAGGAACCTTATCTCTTTGCAAAAAAAAAAATGAGGATAAAATGAAAGATTTTCCTTCTTCCTCTCCTCACCAGCGGGGTCCGACGTCATTAATAATGTCATCGCTCTCGGAAACGTTCTTTTTTTCGTTGCAAAAGACACCGTTGATATCAGCGATAAAAACACGAAGTCTGTAAAAAAAAAAAAATTTAGCAACGCGGTCAGCTCCAGCAAACGAAGCGCGAAGTCTTAAAACCTTCATAAAATTGTGAAGTCTTAAAATCTTCATAAAGACGTGGAGTCTTAAAATCTCCAAACGCGAAAAATCGTCCTCCGCTACAGCATTGACGGCCCGAGCCAGCAGCATCACGCTAACAGTAACGTCATAACTTTGAACGGCAACATTGACATCCAATAGTCTTTAACTTGATACTGTTATCACTAACAGTACCGAGCTGGGGGGCTAACTGTTGGGGTCGGATTTCACCCACTCAACATCAGTGTTCAAAGTTTGATTAACAACACAAACGTACGCTGAATTACGTTGACATCCAGAGATTATATGGTTCTTAAGTCGTTGCTAGCCATGAGACAAGTCTTCTCCGGTCCTAATTCTCCTCTGCTTGCAAGGCGAAGCCTTCTCCATTCGTGAGGCGAAGTCTTCCCCGCCTGCGAGGCGAAGTCTTCCCCGCCTACGAGGCGAAGTCTTCTGAGTCTCGCTTTCATGCAGAAGAAAGAATCAGTACGGGAGCCACCGATGACTCTGCCAAAATGCCACCGGAGACTCTGGCAGAGACGGCCACCGAAGACCCCTGTCTCCGCCTCGCATGAAAGGTGTTGCCTTTGCCTTGCAGGAAAGACCCTGCCTTCACTTCGCGGGAAAGACCCGAAGACTTCCTGCGTTGGGATTTAGCCCGAAACCAGTTGAGAGGACAAGCCCGAATTTCTCCAGAAGATAAACATAGCAGCTATGAAGCAATGTCGTAGCGTCTGCGAGAGTTTGAAGTCTCAATGCTGAAGCCCAGTCCAGATGCGAAGCCCACTTCGGCGCAACCGACATGGACAAAAAGGAAATCCTCAAAAACTTAGAAAATTGGACATAATCTTTGGTGGAAAAACCTAGCCGACTTAGGAACATTACATATATCAATGTACAACCCTTGAGGAGGGGATCCGCAAATTTATTCACAAAATCATATAAAGCAATAACAAACGTTTCTCTTTGCTCATCGTTTCTTTTGTAGCTTAACCTAGAAATCTATGTTTCCTCACGAAACCCTTACAAATCTAGTTGTGCTGGTATTGGCCTCCACAAATGATATGGATTAAACATGAGAATTATGATATAAACTGACTTCTACTGGTGTTAGGATCTACGTTAAATAATTTTTTAAAACTCAACAGGTTATTAATTAAAATGAAAATTTTTGTTTCATTAAATTTTATTGTATTTACCCGCGTATTAACGCGGGTCCTATTCTAGTTAATTATACGATGTGGTGGTAATAGAAATTAAAGATGATGTACGAGTATATTAGGAAAGGGTATGAATAGTGAGCGTGGCCTCCAAGCATATCACCTTTGTATAATCATATCTCAGCCTTGTGACATGTGGATGATCAATCAGAGAAACAATACTCTTGTTCAGAGTCTCATTTGTTTTCTTGAATTTACAATATCGTCATGGGTTTCACTTTGAGCTTGTGTAGGTCAGCGTCAAGATTAGCTTCTTCCGTGTGTGGTGGTCGGTTGGCTCGAGTCCGGTCCATCTCAAGCGTTGTCAACCGTCAGGCTCCGGCGGCTGCTATTGATGATTGGATTAGTTCTGAGCAAGCGGTTCTCGGGGCGATTGACTCTGAGTTCTACGGTCCTGTCATAGTCGATCAAAACGATGCGGTAATGTTTTACTTGCTCTTGGTTTTTGCGATTTACTTGTCTTTTTTTTGATAAATATGTGAATATTATTACCAAAATGGAAAAGTTCTTACAAAAGCTAAATTAGCCTAAAACTTCAATGGCCCCAAAAAAAGTGGAAAAAGCCAATAAGAAGTTAAGATAGAGCAACAGTGCAAATACAAACGATATTAGCTAAGAGAAGACCATAGAGAGAGAAGACGACTACATCCTTTGCGGAAACGTCTGGCTAGTAGTGTGTCTCTAATGGACCTATCAATCTGGCTGAAAAAACAATCCATAGTGAGAGAGCTGTTGTTATGAAACCTACTGTTACGTTCTTTCCAAAGGAAATAGATTGCTGTTTGGGCAGCAATTCTCTTTAATAGCGTGGACTTTCCATTTGCCAAGACATCAGATTTTCCCAAGAGTCTAGGGTATCAAAATGAAGTCCCAGGCGGTTAAAAAGTTTCCTCCAAACCAGAGAAGAAAACTCACAACGGATTAGG